TTTGATTTCAAATAAAAGAAACCGAATGCTTCCCAGTCTCATTCTGGTTAGTCCGGGGTGAGGGCCTAAATTGAAGTTATCCTAGGTCCTGACGCTTGGCTTTTCCTTGTCTCCAATCTTATAATTTTTCGTCAATATGGCCGGATAAGAAGATTTCAAAGGTTCAATCCGTTTGTTCATGGCTATTTTTTATATATAGGAGTATAAATTGGCAAATTCATTATTTAGTCCATGGGAAAATAAAGATTGCTATAGCTAGCTTTTAACTGATGCTCTTCAAGTTGAAATTTCTTGTCGTAATCTGCATTAAATAAATTTTTTTGTGAAATTCCTTCTGTTCGGTTCAGCCGTTTTAACGTTTTTTGGTCACAAACAGACGAGCAAAGTATATTATATAGATACAATGGCTATTTCATATTTCAAGGTTTGCAGATTTTAAGTTATTAAATTTAAATCATCAACATATTTCTGTTGTTTAGAAGAAACTTATTTAAAGATAAAGTTATTTAAAATAATTTATTTACAAAGCAGTTGTGTCAACAATAAATTAATGGCAGCCACAGCTTTTGACAACCATATTCTGATATTTCTTTAATATCACATTCGAACTCTCGTCAAAATATAAAACAGAGATTCCGCTAAGTTTAGTCGGAGCACAACAGGGTTTAGGGACCCCACCGTAGGGGTTCATTAGATGCACCAGGGTCTGCACAATGGCGTGATTGGTCGCGTTCATGTGGGTGTTTAAAGGGAAGGAACATTCGCCATGACAGTAGAATGCAGCGTAACCATCCGGAGCTATTATCCAATCCTCCCATCCTAGATCCCTAATAACGTTCGTTTTTGACAACCCCGTCTTCTTGATTTTCCTCCGTAATAATCAAAATAGTCGCGCCCATACACGTTATCGTAGCTAAAGTCCTGTTCCAAGTAAGAATACTGCTTCTGTCGTCTTCGACTTGAACTCCGTTTTGTGACATCAGCTGATCTCTTTGACCGGCTGGGAGAAATGTCGCCGCCCCTGTCCATTAAGAAAAATAATTCAATAAGTTGTTAATATTTGGAGATAAGACAAGAAAATCGCACGAATTGATAACAGTTAAAAGAACATTTTATTAAAACACCATAATTAAAGTTAAAAAAAATTATCAGTCTTTTTGCAAATTTTCACATCAATAGAAAATAAGACGTTTTTTGACAAATACTGCACTGATAAAAAAGATACATCTAAACTTTGTTAAAGATAAGCTTTGTTTAGGATTAAATCTTTCTTGCAGTAAAAAACCTTGAAGAAGTAGCTATAAAGTATAATTCTCGTAATAAAGATATTCAAATTCCAGATTATGCGAAAATGAAACTATGCAATAATCATAAAAATTGATGCTTTTATTCCAGAGTTCGCAATAATTTTTCAGATCGTAAAAAATGATTTTATTCGTGAAATAAAAATAAATGGTTAATTATTTTCTTCCTTCTATCCTTGATGAAAGCGACCATAAATGATTCATGAGGGGACTGGGTTACCGTGTCTCCTGAATAAAAAAAATATTTGGTAACAAAAGTTATCATTATATTTTCAAAATAAAAATTAAATTTTTTATTATAGTTTTTAATTTTTAATAGCAATCACCTCTAAGACCAAGATCGTGGGGTGCTAGGCTCTCCCTTCCATCCACTGACTTAACTTGAAGCAGAAGTCCTAGATTATGCTTGGGAAAGTTTTGCCAGAAGTTCAAAGCTTTTGCAACATCTAGCACAATCCACCCTTCCTGGTCTAGCGTTACTTTTACAGAGTCTAAGAGATCGTCTTCTCCCGTAGTTCCATCCATCAGCTGGTACACTCCAACTGTGTACGCGGCATTGCCGCTTTGCGGCTCTTTGTAAATCCGCAATTCGCAATCCAAGATGGTGTCTCCCAGCGGCACTTCTGAGACATCAAACCAAAATCTTCGTGTCACCTCAAAATCTTCTTGGTGGCCGTAATTAACAAAGCTCATAATGATATCACTTTCGTTAATTGCCTGATAAAATTGTGTTAATAATATTATTTGTATATTGATCTACATTAATTTTAATCTAAGCTTTATTAAATTAAATTATCAAATATATGAATGAAATGGAACCAGCCATTAAATTATTAAACTCCTTTGGTAATTGAGAAATCAAATTCTGGGTAATTAAAATTTGAAACTTAAAACTATGTATTTTACCATTAAAGTTGAAAATATCACATATTAAATCTAAAATTTCAAAAATATTTACCTGTATATTTTTATCTTGAAGTTGAAACTGGCTTCCCTGCAAGGAGTCAAGGTTTTGAAAAGTTAAATTTTTTATTTCTCCCTGGTCCCCTGCATCGTTCAGCAGGGATAGGTAGATATCCTTCATGAATGTCGGGACTGTGGAGTTTGCTGAAGTTATGGTCCGACGTCGGTTAGATCCTTGTGGTCTGAAGAAAAAAAAAGAATGTATGTTTTTTTCTGAATCCATTAGAGAATTTGGAATTCATGGTTCTAATTGTAATAATGAATTTGCTTTAATCAGTTGTTTAAAAAAATAGACAAAAGACATACAAAACATCTTTGAAATAAATATAATTCAATAGAATATATATATATATATATAAATATATATAGTCCAAACCTAATAAACCTGTAAGTAGTTAACCTGCAAATCGTATAGTTTAAACCTAATACACCTACAGTTTAATTTTATTATCCCTGTATTTTAAATCTGATGAACTTACAGTTTAAACCTATAAACCTATAGTGTAAATCCAATGAACTTATAGTTTAAACTTATAAAACCTATAGAATAAACCTAAAAAACCTATAGTTTAAACCTAATGAAATTACAGTTTAAACCTATAAAGCCTATAGTTCAAAACCTAGTAAACATATAGTTCTAACCTATTAAACGTATTCATTGCTTAAACCTAATGAACATTAAATTTAAATCTAATAAACCTTTAGTTTAAACCTAATAAGTCTATATTTTAACCTAATAAACCTGCCTATAGTAAACCTATAGTTTTTAAGCCTATAGTAAATCTATAGTTTAAACCTAATAAATCCACACTTACTGTGTTTTTGTGTCTTGTACTATTCAAATCATAACTTAAGTCTAAAAATCGTATTAACCATAAATCATATTCTGCAGTTTTAATGGTTCACACTCAGAGGAGTACACAGGAGAGGGGGGGGGGGGCTTTGGAGGCTCATCCCCTCCTGGATCAGTAAACTCAATGAGGGGTTTTCACGCCCCGATAGACTGGAAAGAAAAAAATGTTAGCCCCCCTTAACAAATTCCTTTTACGCCCATGGATCACCTCTTTAGTAAACTTACCTATAGTTTAAACCTAATAAATGAAGTATTTCTTGTTGCATAACCTCCTGGTCTCTGTTCAAAATTAAATTCACATTCAATGCAAAAAAAGGAATTGTTCAGATTTTTAGTGATACATTTTTTTTTAATGACGTAAAAATAATGAAACAGATCAAATAATTTTTTTCTTCAAATAAGTGAAATTTAAAGTTGAATAAGAATTAAGAATTTCAAAAAAGCACGATTTTTTGTCACAAAAATAAATAAAACTTTTTTGCTCAGTACAATGAAAATAACTTTTGGGAAAAGACAAAAAATGTAACCTGTACAAGTATGCAATTCTCATTTATAATTGTATTATAATTTTTTAAAAATAATTTCGTACAATTTGTTCATATTTTTCAATCATATGCTAAATAAAGTTTATAAGAAGAAGTATACAGGTAAATCTTGAGAAGTTAATATTTTTTTTGCAAAATAAATACTCCATCCTGTCATGGGAAATTCAAACGAATTTGCAAATTCCAAATTCATAATTTTAGATTTAAGTATTGTACATATATATATATATTATCTACAATATGAATAAGAAAAATAGTTAAAATGATAATCATAAACATAAATAAAAATGGAGAAACATTTTATCTCGACATATCTATGGTTTTAAAAATATTGAAGAAATAAATTAGAATTTAAAAGTATCCATGGAGCAGAAAACCATTTAAAAGACATTTATATATATCCCAGAAAGCTTGACTTGGGGATTCGTATTATAAAAGTTCGGTGAAATAATCTAAATAACTAGGATTTTAGGGAGCTTCGCACCCCCATTAACTGTTGCTCTAAATGTCGGCCATTTTAAATTATTTTTAAATATTAGTGGATTTTTTTCGAATTTGCGTATTTTCAAACCAAAAATTGCAAATATTTTCCAGGAATATTTTTTCCAATTTTGATGTTCCATAAACCTTTCCTAGGATCATGTAAGGTCCAGCACAAAATTTGGGTCTAATCGGTTCAGTCGTTTTGACGTTTATTGGATTCAAACGGACAGACAAACAAACGGTTGGAACAAATTGACTGATTTTTTTGAGGAAACCCCCCCCCCCCCGGGGGTATCTTCTTCACAATTCGGATTTTTTCAAAGGGTTTTTAAATTGTTACGGGCAACGTCGGGTACTTCAGCTAGTTTTAACATATTTACTACTGTACACAGCTTCTCCGGGATTGAATTTATCTCATCTTTTTCTGATTTTTCCTTTTACCCCCTCCCCACCATCCACCCCCCTCCCCCTCTCTATCACCTAAAACCAAAAAAATTGGTTTACGAGCATTTTTTAACAAAACTTAAATAATAAAACAAATACGTTAAAAAACAAACAAACCTTAAGTATTTTTTCGTGTAATAAGAATATAAAAATAACAAGATAGAAGGAAAAAGGTCAAATTTATGCGACATTGCTAGTACGACTTTGTGACCTCGTAGATTATCTAGTTTTATTTAAAGTCCAAGTATGAGAAATCACATATTCTTCTCTATAGCTCTTCAACTAGAGCATTGAGCATTGAGAACATACAAGATTTTTATCTTAGGTGCGTCGTTTTACTATCAAATATTTCTGGATACATTTTTGAGATATTTTTTTAACTTATTAAAATACATTCATTTATTTCAGGTTTAGTGAAGCTGGGAACCCACTGTGTCCTAGGGAAGAAGGTTGCAATAAAAATAGTCAACAAAGAGAAACTTAGTGAAAGCGTTCTTCTTAAGGAAATCTATCAAACTATGTAAATTTTGTAATGTTACGCATCATATTAGCATAGAATTCAGTTAGAATATAATAACAATAATATTAATAATAATAATATCTGATTGATTGATTGGTGAAGGTTGAGCGTGAAATAGCAATCATGAAACTAATAGAACATCAGAATGTTCTCGGTCTCTACGATGTTTACGAGAACAGAAAATACTTGTAAGTACAACAAAATTTCTTAAAAATTATTTAAAACTCAAAAACGATATAAATAAAAATTTGTAAAAATTAAAATAATCACTTTTCTCTGATAAAAGGTTTAAAGGCCATAGTTTTTCGGTGAGGAAAGTCTAAAATTCTTCATCTTTAAAAATGAGTCGACCATTTGTCTTACAAACTATTTTCACCCATCGAAATACAATTTTAGCAAAAAATTTAGCGTTTAAATCTTGCTTTTCAAGCGGTAATTTTTCTTCGTTTTTTTCATGCAAACGGATAGATAGACAAGCAAAGTATATACATGTATATTAAATACACTTAGAATTTTAAAACAAAGCTGAGAAGATTCTCGTGGTTCTCTGAGTTCACAAATCAAATTTTGAAGCAAATCGGTCCAAGGGTTCATGAGTTATGATCGGACATAAAACAAACTAACACAACCAAAGAAACAAAAAGAGATTACTACTTTATATATATAAAAATATATAACCATATATGTACTGTATGCACTAGGTACCTTGTACTGGAGCATGTATCTGGAGGTGAACTATATATGTACTGTATGTACTAGGTACCTTGTACTGGAGCATGTATCTGGAGGTGAACTATATATGTACTGTATGTACTAGGTACCTTGTACTGGAGCATGTATCTGGAGGTGAACTATATATGTACTGTATGTACTAGGTACCTTGTACTGGAGCATGTATCTGGAGGAGAACTGTTTGACTACCTGGTGAAGAAGGGTAGGTTGACCCCGAAGGAAGCTCGACGATTTTTCCGTCAAATTATTTCAGCACTTGACTTCTGTCACAGTCATTCAATATGGTAAGATTTAAAATTATTTCAAAATTTTTAAACCAAAAATGCATGAAAGTTTTCTAAACATGTTAAAAGTACTTTTAAATTAATTTTTGTTTTGAATGAACATTCATAGAAGTTAAAAACGTTTTTTTCTTCTTAATAACTCTTCAATATTTGGAGCTATGATACATCTACTTTAATATAAAAAATAATTTAATTTATATTTAGTCACAGGGATCTGAAACCAGAAAATCTACTGCTTGATGATAAAAACAATATAAAGGTTAACAGTTTATCCTTTTTTGACAACACGAAAAATTTAAGAAATGTCTGTTCCTAGTTTTTGTATCTTACTAATACTCGCATATTATCTCATACAGGATTTAAAAAAAAGGAGAGTTATACAACGTCAAGTCGATCCCTCGAGGGGAGGAAGGCCAACCACAATAATTTATCGTCCGAGCCACATTTTCCTCATTTTCTCTTCCGAGCCAACACGAAATCCTCGTCCTTCCAATATTATTTTTTTTAAAGTGTCTAATCCTCCAAGATAAAATTACTTTTTAAGAATCGGGCCACGTTAGGGCATAAATGAAATATTGAATTTTTGTAAATCGGAAAAAAAAATTCAATTGATTTAAAGTTTTCTAGTCTTTAAAAATGATCACATTTTTACATGCATTTTCAGATAATCCTGGTGTAGAATACCGTAAATGATTCCAAGTTTATAGAACTTCAATCTTATTTTGTGAATTATAATGAAAACCATAGAACTTTTCAAGGTAGTTTCACGGGGAAAATGATAGGCAGAGGTATGCCAAATATTTTGCTATTTATTTTATATCCCGAAGGTTAGCCATTACGGAGGCAGACGAGATTTAAGTTTTACCTAAATAAAGTTTGACATTCTAATGGGTTTGAAGATAATAACATGATGTAATCATTGCAATACTTTAGTCTATCCATATTTTATGCTCTAACGTGGCCAGATAAAAAAAAAATAGTTTATCTTCAAGAATTTGAAATTTTAAAACACATAACAGTCAAAGGACGAGTATTCGGAGGTGACTCGGACGAGAAAATGCCGAGAATGCGGCTCGGACGATAAATTGTTGTAGTTGGCCTTCCTCCCCTCATCCCTCTCTACGCCAAATCTTTGTTATTGTTGTTTACAACTTGGAAGTTGTTTTCGACCTGTTCCTGTGTGGTCCTAAAACCATACAGATACAATACACTATTTTACAATAACATAGTTTTCTCCATGACCTTCCACCCTCTCGTCTAGTAGAGCTTTTAAAAAAAAATGTTATTAATTTTGACGTCCATTTTTATACTATATTTTTATTAGCAATTGATATCTTTGTTATTGTTGTTTACAACTTGGAAGTTGTTTTCGACCTGTTCCTGTGTGGACCTAAATTCATACAGATACAATTCAGGGTGTCCCAAAAAACATGGGAATTCAGTGACGAATTCGATATTGTCTTTGTTAGGAATTAGCATTGTAATACCTAATTTCAACGGCCAAAATAATATTATGTCTGCCAGAATTTATTTTATGAAAAGGCCGTAAAAGACAAGACTGTAAAGATGTGTCTATAATGTTTCCGCAAGATGAATAGTGAAGACGGACAAGTTTACTCTGTTTGCATACTGTAATTTTCTTGTTTTACTAAGTACAACCGTATGCAGTCAAAACATAAACAAACAAAATGTGAACATAGCAGACGAAACTCTTACAGATTACAGCTTTCTCAGTAGGTATCACTATACTAAATCAAAGAAATATTTGAAAAGACGATATCGAATTCGTCACTGAATTCCCATGTTTATTGGGACACCTTGTACACTATTCTACAATAACACGGTTTTCTCCATGACCTTCCACCCTCTCGTCTAGTAGAGCTTTTTAAAACAATGTTATTAATTTTGACGTTCATTTTTATACTAAATTTTTATTAGCAAGATATCTTTCGCATGTCTTTTTAACTTGCACATATCACTTATTTATATTCATTGAAAAAAAAACATTTAAAAACACAATGAAAATAATATAAAAAGATGAACAAAATCAAGTTATCACAAAGATAACTATTTCAATTGTACATAGGTTGCAGATTTTGGAATGGCCAGTCTTCAACCACGTGGGTCGATGTTGGAGACATCTTGCGGTTCTCCGCACTACGCTTGCCCAGAAGTTATTCGAGTAAGAGTCGTGCGATTACGCGGTTATTTTAACTTTGCTTATATTTAATTCTATTGACTTTGTTTTAATTCCTGAAGAATTGTTCACTTATTTTGAGAGGTGTTAAAGGATAGTTAATTACTAAATTTTCTATTTAGTATTGTTTTTTTTTTTAAAATTTGATCCAATATTTTTCGTTATTCAAAAACTTGTCTAAAGTTGTGAGAGTATGTACAAAAAAAAAGATTAAACACCTCCTACGCTTTCTTTGATGCAATCTGAGGTCCTTAAATAATAAAAAAAATAATAGATTTCAAAGTTGAATCTTGGAGAAAATTCTTAAAATCCCATTTTTGTAGAAACGAATCAGACAGTCCACACTTTAAAAAATCCCAAAATTAGGAGAAAAGAACATGTTTAGTTTAATGTTCTGAGAATACAAAATACAAACGATTGTCTTGACGATTGAAAAAGCTTAAAATCGTCACTGTAGTTTCATGTTTATACTGGTTAACCCATGTATGAAAAAGATAGTATAAAAGTTTGAGATGAAGAAAGCATTAAACCGCTAACCCTTTTCTTACTTCTCAAACTTGGGTTTCATGCAATGTTTAAATTTATTCTTTAAATTTCGTGACTGAAATATCCTAAATATTGACATTTACTTCAAACATAAATGGGATGGGTCGCGATTTACGACAGGCAAAATAATGTTCCAATCACAAATATCATAACATCATATAAAAAGAATTGAGTCTTTGTCACAAACTCATATTTTTCTGTCCCTGTCCTTGCAACCAAATGTCGTAGACCTTAGATGTTTAAAACTATGAATTCTGTTAGATCAAACACTCTAAGTTTGAAATACTTAAGGTTTATACAATCAGGCTGCAATAATATATAAATTGGAAAATATGAGCTTGTGGCAAAGACTCAATTAATTTCTAATACAGTACGAAAAAAAACCCTTGAACACTTCCTTAAATCTTTTTAAATTATATTAATATTAGGGCGAGAAATATGACGGGACTCGGGCAGATGTTTGGTCTTGCGGAGTTATCCTTTACGCTCTTTTAGTTGGAGCTCTTCCATTTGATGATGATAACCTTCGCCAACTACTAGAGAAGGTACAATGAGTGTGAAGTACACAATCATTTGATTTCACAATTTACAAATCTGCATAGCAACTAGCTCTCTTCACAATTTGTAATCATGAACGATAAAGAATCTGCATAGCAACTAGCTTTCTTTACAATTTGTAATCATAAACGATAATGAATCTACATAGCAACTAGCTCTCTTCACAATTTGTAATCATAAACGATAAAGAATCTACATAGCAACTAGCTCTCTTCACAATTTGTAATCATAAACGATAAAGAATAATAAAATAATTATTCAATATGGCAACATAAGAAAACCACAATTAATTAGCTATTAAAAGTCTGGTATCTTTCAAATAAAACAATTTGTTTTCCATACGACAAAATTCATTCAGGTTAAGAATCACGTCTTCCATATACCACACTTTGTTTAGGTTAAGCGTGGTGTCCTTGATTAAGACATTTTGTCCAGGTTAAGGGTGGCATATTCTATCGACCACTTTGTTTAGGTCAAGCTTTGTGTCTTCCATATACCACATTTTGTTCAAGTTAAACGTGGCGTCTTCCATTTACCACATTTTGTTCAAGTTAAACGTGGCGTCTTCCAAATACCACATTTTGTTCAAGTTAAACGTGGCGTCTTCCATATACCCCATTTTGTTCAAGTTAAACGTGGCTTCTTCCATATACCACATTTTGTTCAAGTTAAACGTGGCTTCTTCCATATACCACATTTTGTTCAGGTTAAACGTGGCGTCTTCCATATACCACATTTTGTTCAAGTTAAACGTGGCGTCTTCCATATACCCCATTTTGTTCAAGTTAAACGTGGCTTCTTCCATAGACCACATTTTGTTCAAGTTAAACGTGGCTTCTTCCATATACCACATTTTGTTCAAGTTAAACGTGGCGTCTTTCATATACCACATTTTGTTCAGGTTAAACTTGGCGTCTTCCATTTACCAAAATTTGTTTAGATTAAGCGTTGTGTCTTCCATATACCACATTTTGTCCAAGTTAAGCGTGGCGTCTTCCATTTACCACATTTTGTTCAAGTTAAACGTGGCGTCTTCCATTTACCACATTTTGTTCAAGTTAAACGTGACGTCTTCCAAATACCACATTTTGTTCAGGTTAAACGTGACGTCTTCCAAATACCACATTTTTTTCAAGTTAAACGTGGCGTCTTCCAAATACCACATTTTGTTCAAGTTAAACGTGGCGTCTTCCATTTACCACATTTTGTTCAAGTTAAAAGTGGCGTCTTCCATATACCCCATTTTGTTCAGGTTAAACGTGGCGTCTTCCATATACCACATTTTGTTCCTCCTGAATGTCAGAATTTACTGCGAGGGATGATTGAAGTATCTCCTGATAAAAGACTGACGGTAAGTCAACCTTCACAATGATCCAAAGGTTTCAAGCTCTGATGAACTTGCAATTACTTCCTAATTACTGCAAGCGCATCCAATTCTAAAACTTACAAGTCCAGGGCTACAAAAAAATATAAGTGAGTTTGTGAGGTACACTTAAAATCCAAGACGCAAGTTACGGGTCCGACATCGATTTTGTCTCAAAAATTGATGCAATTTTTCATAGCAGTCTGGATCTGTGTGATATAATGTAGATCCACAGTTGTTTTCAGTAAAAATTAATTATACCACTTTTTGGCGATACCATACATACTGGTACAAATAACAACTGATGAGTTTCCTCCAAACATCCGAGCCAAAAAACGCGCCAAATATTTTTGATCTACAGCTTACAACAGTTGTCTCAATACCAAACCGTTTCAGGGTTATTTCTCATTTGTTGATTTGAAGAGCATTTTTTCTTAAGATCTAAATGTTTATTGATGATGCATACATATTACAGTTACAGATTTATCAAAAAAAGTTCTTGAGATAAAAAGTCTCTGGAAATGAAGTCTTACAATTGTGAGACTTTATTTTCTATGACTTTTTTCTGGTTCCAATTAGGGTTGTTAATTGTTTTTGAAAACGATCGGTAAACGAACGTTTTTAGTTTCGTTTTTAATTTTAAGAAAACGAAAAACGATCGTTTTTGAAAAAAAAAAAATTTATTGACAATTATGTTAACGATCGTTAACAAAGGGTCGTCGTTAACGATCGTTAACGAAGGGTTGTCGAATTAACGAAACGACGAACTTTATAAAAACACTCGTTTTTCGAAAAACGATCGTTTTTGAAAAAAATGACAGACAACGTTTTGGAATGTCGTCTTATATAAAGTTAAAAAGTTGTGGGGGGAGCCAAAACTTCTTCATATTTTCTTAAATACTACTCAATCATAAGAACAGATGCCCTTCAGGTCGGTTTCCTCTTTTCGTTAGCGATCGTTAACGAAGGTTCGTCGTTAACGATCGTTAACGAAGGGTCGTCCTTAACGATCGTTAAAGAAACAACGATTTTTATTAAACGATCGTTGTGAAAACGTTAACATCCCTAGTTACAATATGATAAAATTGTCCCCGGAAAAAAGTTCTTTTAAAGTGGAAAATGAATGTAAACAAAAGATGTTTACAACCATGAAAAAAGGGACTTGATATTAAAACCCCCCTGGGTATATATTCAATATGCAGATGCATAGAAGAAAAGTCCGTTTTATGAAAACGTCTAAGACTTGACCTCGTGTTCCCAAGACAGGTCTTTTTTTCTCTATGACTTAAATTCCAGTAGTCTTATTTTCTGAGACTTTATTGGCAGCCCCATATTATTTTAGGAAAAAAAGTCCAATGGAATCTAAAACTCAGGACTTTATTTTTTAGTGATATTTTGTCCGAGGACTCCAGAAAATTGGGACTTTTTACCAATTTTTTTATTTCCAGGTTTTTTCCGGAACTTTTTTTTTCTGTGACTTTCTTATATAGCCCAACAAAATTGCCAATAAAGAAATCGTCTCAAATATCTTCCAGACAATGTTAAATGGTTTGCTATATGTGTCATATTTTAGTAAAAAGCTTTAAAATTGACCTTATTAGCTCAGAACTGTTCTACACCTCTGACCCCATCGCTTGATCTCGATATCCACTATGGACACTTTTGATTTGAAGATACAAATAAGATTACCATGTGCCTGGAATACGATTAAAGATTAAATTAATTTGATTTGCAGATTAACAAAAGATCCCCCCACCACCACCACAAGATCTCTAGTCGTGGCTTTATGCATTATGTATGTTAGATCATAAATAAGATTGGTTCAGCTATATGTATTCGAATAAGAAATATCGGTTGAATGGAATATCAATCCAATTCAAATATTTTCTGACTAAAATTTATATTTTTCTTTCAAAACTTTCTGAAAAGAAAATGAAATTTTACTTGATCTTTTAGTTAATTAAAGACAGTTTTATACGAACGATAGGAACCTATGATATTACAAAATTAGATTATTTTATCTAGTCGAATTCATAATTTTCAATATAAAATGTCGTCGACATCAGGCTGAAAGGTACAAGGATTTAAATAAAAGAGTTTGTGGCGAGTGCGTTTCAGGATGGCTTCTGATATTTTCAAAGGGGGGCTGGGGGGGGGGAGAAATAATTTAATAGTTGCGCACGAAGGGCACCGATTTCCTCCTACCTGGCATAATATTCCCCCCCTACAAATTTTTTACAGGGACTTCAGTAAATTTTATGTCAAAACCATGACCAGCTTGGTGTTATAGGTGGAAAGTGTTTTAGCAAGATTTTGATTTATATCATTATAAAAAAAAATCTTCCTTTTGAATGAAAAAGTGGCACCGCAGGAACAATTTGTTTAGAATCTATTCTTAAAAATCAAACTTAAAGAACTTGAACGTGCCTGCTCTCCCTGCTTGCAATCTCTTCTTGGACAACTAAATTTTCTAGGGGGGGGGGGCACGTCCCCATTTCCCCCGATAAGTCGCCTCTGGTGTGTTCAGTCCTTGTGATTAAATAGTTTTATGTTCGATATAAAGACAGTTAAGAAAACTATGTATAATAGAGTTATATACGATATATAAAAGAAACATTATAAAAAACATTTATTCAGAAACGATACAAAGAATTTTTCAAAAGCAAGGAAAAACATGGTGTTTAAAAAGAAACTTATTACTCGCCTTAAATTCTGATTTTAAAATCCTTCACAACCTGATGGTGTATCTATGGATGTATTATACACTATAGATAATTTTGTTTTTGTTTCCTTAAGCATAGCAGAATTTATATCAATGGTCCAAGACATCAGGCTGCGAAGATATAAGAATTAGAAAATTACAGAAAGAACCAGAAAATTGTATACTACAGGGTGTCCCAAAAAACATTGGAATTCAGTGACGAATTGAATATCGTCGTTGTTATGAACTAGCATTGTAATACCTAATTTCAAAAGCCATAATATTATTATGTCTGCTAGAGTTTTTTTTTATGAAAAGGGTAAAAAGACGGCAAAGATTTGTCTATAATGTCTCCGCAAGATGAACAGTGAAGACGGACAAGTTTACTCTGTATACTGCAATTTTTTTGTTTTACTAAGTGCAACCGTATGCAGTCAAAACATAAACAAACAAAATGTGAACATAGCAGACGAAACTTTTACAGATTACAGCTTTCTCAGTAGGTATCACTATACTAAATCAAAGAATTATTTAAAAAGACGATATCGAATTCGTCACTGAATCCCCATGTTTATTGGGACACCCTGTAGCATACTTTAGTGTATTTGATGTTGTTACAAAGTCAATATGTTTTGCTGGTAACATGTTAGCTCACTTGTTAAGCAAAATGGACCTGTTTACACTGAACAATTGGACTATTTAAAGTAATAACTTGAGCCTAAAGTTGTCTTCCTCTTCCAGAGTTTTCTGGTTCTAACTGTATAGTAAAATGTTGATGTTTCTTTAGTTGATATTTGTTTGTTTAGCTGAAGGAGGTTAACCGTCACCCCTGGGTGATAGCTGGGGGTAAGGGTGAACTGGATCTAGAAGATCCTATGATGGAAGTTGTTCAAACTCATATTATTCCTTCAGAGGATCAAATTGATCTGGATGTGCTACAGGTAAGTTTATAGCGTAGTCTCCTTCCCTCGTTTTTCTAATTTTTGTAAATCACTTTTGTAGGACTGAAAAGAGTTTTTGACGATTTGTTTCGTACAAACTATCATGGTTTAAAATGTGTTTCTGGAACATGCGATATTCTTCTTCATAATCTTCAAAAATATCGTCTTAAATATAATGTTTAGAATATTCGGAATGTTTTTTATAAGCATTTTCGATTCATTTTATGCAACTAAATTTTTTTTTCGCGATTTATTTTTTACAAATTATCATATTTCAAAATGTAGTTCTGTAACATGCTATATTCTTCCTCATATTACAAATTATCATGTCTTTTTATGTGTTTCTGTAACATGCGATTTTCTTAATGTTCTTAAAAAATGTAGTTTTAAATGAAATATGCAAACGCATATACATCGTAAACTAACACGGAATAATTAGTTCCGTGATGTTATTTTTTTATTACCCTACTTAAAATACACAATTGTAAACATTTAACATGAAACGAAAAGTATAAATATTTAGTAAAAAAACTATTGTAGGATAAGATAACACAATTGAAAATATTCAATTTTAAACTTTAAAACATATATTTTATTATTTCATGATCACATAAAGCGTTTAAGGGTTTAAAATGAATATAATTGGGTTTCCCAATTTCTGTTCTATTTAATTTTTTTTCGATTCCCTAAAAAACAGAATTATTTGTTCATGCTTTAGTAAATATTTCTACATTTTTGTAATGTTTAATATTTAATATTACATAAATTTTTTTAACTGAACGTTTAATGTTTTAGGCAATGAACAGCTTGGGATGTTTTAAGGATCGACAAAAATTAAAAATGGAGTTGCTCAAACCGTTACATAATACAGGTATATAAGGAAAACTTATTTGAAAAAACTAAAATACTTTGAAACCATATACTGCAGCAACCTTGCAAAATCATCAAAATCGTCTTGTTGTTGTTTTAGAAACTTTTATAAAATAAGAATTTTTCAAACTTTTATTTTCGAATTTAATCCGTTTGAATTCAAAAATTGTAAAGGAACTGATACTACTATTCATGATCTAATTTTCTATTATCGTTGCAACCTGATGTCGTAGAACTTTTAAACTTAAAATATGAAATCTACCAAATCTTATTGTTTAAGTTAAAATATCAAAGGTTTAAATCGTCAGGTTGCAAAGATTAGAAAATAGAATTGAATTTTTGCCACAAACAAAATATCTTTGCAACCTTATGGTGCAAACCTTCGATATTTCAAACTTAGATTATTTTATCTATAAGTATTAATAGTTTGAAATATCTAAGGTCTACGGCATTGGGTTACAAAGATATAGAGATCAGAAAATCAGAGTTTGTGGCAAAAACTCAATTCCTTTGAAATAAAGTTGATTTCAATTTTATTTTCATTTCAATGGGAAAAAAATATTTTATGAAACTATAGTGTACTTTATCATTATTACTTACTTCATTGTAAATTTTACAATGAACGTGCTATAAAGTATTCATCGTGCTATAATGTTAAATTATCTATACAAAATAGCACTTGTGCTATAAAGTTTTGATTGGTTCCCGGATTTTCTCCAAAAAATTTTGGATATTTCCAAAATACTTGTTTCAATTGAAATAAAAATAGAATTGAAATCAACTTTAAATTTTGACTTCTGCTTTGTTTCAAAGCTTCTTTGATCTAGAAACAGAAAAAAGACAAATACACAAACGTTTCATAAAATTACCTATAATACTATTATTTTGGCACGACGTGATATAACGTTTTTGGACTTGAATTTTCTCTATGTCTCGAAGGTTTCGCCTTTTCAGATTATATTTATTTATTTTATAATTAAATTTAAAAATGCTTGAACCTTCTCGATAAAGAGAAAGTTTTTGTCCAAAAACTTTATAACACTGCGAACTAAAATAACAGTGTTATAAATAGTTATTGGAAATATCCTAAATTATTTGAAAAAATCCGGGAACCAATCAAAACTTTATTGCACACGTGCTATAATGTACAGCTAATTTAACTTTATAGTTCGATGATTACTTTATAGCACGTTTCTTATGAAATTCACGATGAAGTGAGTAAGAATGATTAAGTACACTATAGGTTCATAAAAAAGCTTACGTTAAACCTTTCTACTCAAGATATTCTTTATTTATTTCAGAATAATCCAGAATTCAGTTTTGTTCTTCTGTAAACCATATGAAATTGTGGAATAGGAAGACATTATCTAAGCAATCTTATTGGATTTTGATGATATCATAAAGTTAAAAGTTTTACCAGTATGCTTGAAAACCAGCCTTTGAAATGGTTCTGTCTACTCTTCATAATTGCTGTATTTTATGTTCTTTACACTGTATTTCCATCTGCTAAAACCGAACTTCCTTATACGCATTTCTGATTCAAAAAGGCAGTTGTGGGATAATTTATTTCTCTTAAAAAATTCAGCGTATGTTTAATTCTGCCCTTTTGAGAAATCTTGTAAGGAAGTTCGCCTGTTGAGAAAACAAAGTGTAGAATATTTAAAGAAACAACTTGAGTCTGACAGTCGTCTTCCTATTTCACAATATCATCAACTCTCACTTTATATCTTTAATTTTACTATATTATCAGAGAATTCAATTATAAATACACATGAATGCATACAAATTTTATGAGAGGGGTGGGTCAATCACTTACTCTCAGAAAATACCAGATTCTTCAAGAGAACTGTTTCTTCAAGTAGTCAAGATTTTTGTTTCTGGATCATTTTACTTGATTCCACTTTTTTGAAATATTAAAAACAATTTTCTACTTTTCAGAAAAGGTGATATATTTCCTTCTACTTGACCGGAAAAAGAGGAAACCGTCCTATGAAGATGATACGGAGGTATATATAGATATATAGATAGATTGATAGATATATTATAGTTAAAGAGTTAAAAAGATAGATAGATAGATAGATAGATAGATAGATAGAAAGATAGATAGATAGATAGATAGATAGATAGATAGATACATACAAATTTCGGTATTTGTACAGTCTAGGAGAGTACACGTGTTTATTGTTAATTGTTTACTTAAAAATAAGTTTTATTTACATGAAGTATATTATTTATGTATTTAAGTCAACACTATATAAGCCAATTATTATAAACTAGTCGTTATTCAAGCTTAATTATAATGGACAGCATTGTTCTTCAATTTCCTTGACTGTACTCATGTTGTGGGTCTGTACCAAAGGAGTGTGTGTATGGTTTACCGAACTTGTCTGCAAAGCAGTGCGACTGGCTTTCTCATGCCAAACCAGCGCCATTTCCTTTCCCTTTATTCCTATTTCCTGATTTATGAAGATTTATTGATAATTGATTAATTGATTTATTGATTTGTTGATTTATTAATGATAAATGATAACGAAAAACGTTGTGCTCTAGGTGATGGTTCGTTCCCGGTGCGGAAGTCAGGATCCCCCCCGGAAACGTGTTGATCATAGTAAAGTAAACGGAAACCATTTTGTCCAGCTTAGCCAGGGATCCCCTCTCACACCTAGGAGACAACTTTACAGGTTAGTCAGAATGTCGTCTTCAAATGTTACCATAAGCTTGAAAACAAAGCGGAGAATTCAAAGTTCAATTTGTTTCCATTATTTTTCTATTATTTTATTGGAAATTGCTTTCCCAATTCTTTTCCAGGAATTTATAAAATTAAAAAACCTTTCGGGAATTTCTTAACATTTCGAAGCACTAAATTAAATAAAAACCGACGAGCTATGTTTTTTATTTTCAATTTAAGAGGAGAATTGGAAAAATTTCTGACATAAATTGTTTTCAAATCGTTGTAGGAACTTTTAATCGCACCATGAGAAATTCTGAAAACAGACCCGGAGTATAGGGTGTCTCACAAAGCATAACAGTTGAGAGCCGACTTGAAGGTCGTCTTTAAAGGTTGGAATAAATTGCGGCATTCATTTGTCTATCTAATTTTAAAAGAATATTTCTAAAGTTATTAATTACAAAACGGACTTTGCCTTTTTGTGCTTTCAAAATTAACAATGAAATGTAGACTTTCGCTCCAGACTTCGAAAACTTTGGGTTTATTTAATAAATTAAAATCTTAACAAAATTCTTAATATTTCCAGTAATTCCAGCACAAAATCAACGACGACCTTTAATAAATTGTGTGACACTCTGTAGATAAGATGCCTCCGTTTCTGTTTTCAGCGGCACGCAATAAAGCTTCCATCTCTATTCCTTAGCTAATTTTGTACTTTATAAAAGGGACTGGAGTGTAGTAGATGATACGATCCAGTAACCTTATAATTATAAAAACATGTAAGATTCACAAAATATGTTTAACTATCTAAAAGTTGTCAACTTTTAAGCCTGATTTATCTATAAAAGGGACAGCAAAGAAAATAACTGAAATTATAGACTTTGTTTAATGGATTCAGCTGTGAATCAGTCATGTTAATCTAATAATTAAGTCCCTTTAATTGTACAATAAATTGCAATATGTTCTAAACACTCACCACCATTTTAAATTTGTATGAACCCTATATTTTTACAACCTTATGGTGTGAACCATTGATATTTCAAACTTTGACTATATGATCTTAAGCATTTATAGTTTTAAAGATCAAAGCTCTTACACCAGGCTGCAAAAGTATAACAATAAAAAATAGAGTTTGTGGCAAATGTTCAGTTTCTTTATTTCTCACAAAAATGTAAATTTACTTGTCATTAAAAAGGATTTTATTCAATCAAACCATGGGCAAAAAAAACTCTAAATCTAAAGAAAGAAAAAGTGTAAATTATTTAAGCATAATGAAAAAAATCATTCAATATTTTTTCAATGTTAAATGAGCATTTAACTGTAATAAGATTATAATTTACGTGGTATTTTATTCAATCATTTGCTTTTGCTTTTACGCTTAAAAAGTTAGCTGGTGCGTATGCAACTGGCATTTATTACTTTCCATCTTTATTTCCTTCGAAAACTGGAAAAATCCAGATTGAAGAGACATGTCAGTATAATTTCTACACAGTGAGATACAAAACAGCAGCCATTTTTCTCCATCTTATGCAGACCGAGGAATTAATTCAATCCCTGTTCGATATCCCTTAATACCGTTTAAAATTAACGGTATTCCACACGACAGGGTTCGACCTTAGAGTTTTTCAATTAAACTTTTAAAGAAAGAATTACAAAAGAAATGTCTATCATCCTCATTATATTTGAAGAAAAAAAAACACAAACAGGAATGGTTGATGATAAAAAAACACAAACATGGAATGGTTGATGATACTCTTTATTCATTGAAAAACACGTCAAATGTGTTAAAGTTTGTAAATATCTAATATTTCTTGTATCTCACTGTATTGTAAATATCTAATATTTCTTGTACCTCACTGTATTGTAAAGTAGAGACACACTTGTTTAGCCCGGCCTTACCGAGGAGAAAAGAGGTGGATTATCTATCAGGGTCCAGGACACCCTTACTCAGGTATTTTAGGGTCCAGGACACCCTTACTCAGGTATTTTAGGGACCCTCTTTACTAGATATCTTAGGGCCTTATAGACTTCCCGTACTCGGGTATTCTATGGGCTAGACCAGCTTACTCAGGTATTTTAGGGACTAGACTCCCCATCCTTAGGTATTCTATGGGCTAGAATAGCTTACTCAGGTATTTTTGGGACTAGACTCCCCATACTCAGGTATTCTATGGGCTAGACTTATATCTTACTCAGATATTTTAGGGACTAGACTCCCCATACTCAGGCATTCTATGGGCTAGACCAGCTTACTCAGGTATTTTAGGGACTAGACTCCCCTAGACCAGCTTACTCAGGTATTTTAGGGACTAGACTCCCCCTCCTCAGGTATTCTATGGGCTAGACCAGCTTACTCAGGTATTTTAGGGACTAGACTCCCCCTCCTCAGGTATTCTATGGGCTAGACCAGATACTCAGGTATTTTAGGGACTAGACTCCCCATCCTTAGGTATTCTACGGGCTAGACCAGCTTACTCAGGTATTTTAGGGACTAGACTCCCCATCCTTAGGTATTCTACGGGCTAGACCAGCTTACTTAGGAGAAAACCCTTAATCGTGAATTTTAGAGAATAAAATATCCTTATTTAGTTATTTTAGGGACTAGCCATGCACCTTACTTACTATACTACTTAGGTAATTTAGGAACTAGTAACCCTTACGCAGATATTTTTTGAGGCTAGAATTCTCTTAATCAGGTATTTTAGGGGCTAGAATTCTCTTACTTAGGTATTTTAGGGGCTAGAATTCTCTCACTTAGGTATTTTAGGGACTCGACCCCTTTACTCAGGTATTATAGGGATGGTATTATTAGTTACGAACGACAAGGTATTTTGTAATACTTTTTTCTAATTGCTTCGAATATCTCGCTAGTAACTAACAAGCTGAAAACCGCACTTTTCACTTTTGCTTTAAAGATTTAGATGCACTAATTAATTATGTTCGATCTAGGGAATACTTTTCTTTATTAGCAATGCCCCCACCCACACTTTGTAACAAATGTTTTTTTTCTAAATGTGTCTTAAAAGGTCAATAAAGTCTATTTCTATTTCTTCACACCTAACCTATAAAAGTAAAAAACCCTGAAGGAAAAATATACCCATAGATCCGACACTATATTTTTAAAATTTTCATATTTTTTTTTTAATTTTGTTAAATTGTTGTAATAAAGATTTATTTAATTTTAGCAATAGAAGACGACAACCAAGTGGTTCCTCCTTGTCGTCCTTTGGTCCCTCCTCTCTGTGCACCTCCCCGGTCCCTCCCTTCTCCCCCCATCCCTCTCCTAAACTTCAAAGACAAGATAAACCGCGGCTAAACGAGGTAAATAACCGAGAAAATTAAAGGGAGTATTTTCTAATTTTTAATTGGTAACAAAATTCTATTGGACAATCCAGAAACATGAAATATTGTTTAAAGTCCCAGGATGTGTCATGCACTGTCTTAAGTTTTCTATGGAATTGAGTCTTTGACACAAACTCAGATTTTCTAATCCCTTTAACTTTGCAACCAAACTTTAAATAGCAAAGGTCTACATCATCAAGTTGCAAAAATATAGGGATTAGAAAATTTAAGTTTCTTGCAAAGACCCAATTCCTTTATCTATGCAACACAATAAACACACCCATTAAATTTGTTTTATAAAGCGTTAAAGCCAAGAAGCTAAAATAGAAAGTCATCAAGATTAATTAATATATATGCTTACAACCGTAACATTTCCAAATTAACATTGCGGTATAGTAACAAAAATTGCCTTTGTATACTGAAATCATATCTACATAATAAATTCAAAATTAGAAAGTGTTTTTAAAATTCCAGGACAACGCTGGGAACTTAACCAATGTAGTATTTTATAAAATTCTAGTTTAAAAACTCGAGTTTTCTGTCTCTGTTCTGGTGATTCTAAATTTAAAGGAAAATCATCTTAAAAAAGCTTTTCTTTAGAATATAAATATCTTAATACTTGTTGTATTATAGGGCGGAGGAGATACCGAACATTTACTCCCAACTCCACCAGGTTCCCCATCACAGGTAATATTTAATCAACTTGGCCGGTCAAACTAGGACGTGTCTAATTATAGGGTCATGCTCGGTAGTGGACGGAAAATGTTAAAAAAAAGTTTTTAAAAAGCTTAATTTCTATCATTTAATAAAGTCCCGAAAGAAAAAAAGATTGTTTACGGCAAGTTGTTTTAAAGTAAATAAAGTCATGACTTTTACTCGCAGTTTTTACTTCCAAAAAAATTCCTTGATTTAAAAGAGTTTAACGTCTTCCATTTTTTGACCAAGGATCTTGACAGTATACATTTTAAAATGTAATAAATCCTTTCTGTGAAAACATATTAAAGGATATTTTTTGTTTTCATTACGAACAACAACAACAACCCTTTCCACCATAAATAATTTGTATATGTAAATGTATGTAGAACATCAAGAATCAAACATTGTTAATTAAAACTTTTAGCATGGTGTGTTTATCCAGAATTACATAATGTTGGCACTCGGCACTAACCATAGATTATATTGATGAGACACTGACATACGATCGAATTTGTAATGTATTTTACCCATAGATAAATAAATAAACATAGATAGCTTATGTACGCAAAATCACCAAGAATTGTACAGTCCGCGAACTCATACTTCTAGGGGTTAAATTGTACTTCAATGGTAAGCGGAGTGGTTTGGTGTTTTAATGGATTTCATAATTATTAAACCACTCAGGAGTGAATTTTATTTTGAGAATATCAAATTATTTCACTGAGCAATATGTCATATTGACGAGAACTAAAGAAAGACATGAGAAGGACTAAACTAACTTAAATTTCTTTTTACAAAACTCATGTACATTACAAGTACTCAATGACATAAGAACAGCCAATGTTCACAACCGACCTAGTTAATCTATATAATAGGAATATCTTTAAAACATCTCTGTACATTTATATCTTTCAAGATGAAGAATGTCGTCTTATGCGCAATCTATCTTTGTCTATGATTTTACCAGGAAAATGAATAATTTTACCGCTGTGGGAAATATGTTAGAGATGTTACTCAATACTCATTGCGGTTTTTAAGCACAAACAAAAGATTAATATCGAACAACAACTACCTCCCCTACCCATTCTGTGTTATCTGTTGTTAACCAATTGAAGACCTTTTGTTATACTAACCCTTACAAAAACTGTTAAGTATAATTTCAATTCAAATTTCAAATTTAACCACTGAGCAATGACAAAATGACTCAAAGCCCTTTTGAGTCATTTTGTTATTTCAAAGGGTCTGATTTCAAATCCTTATAACTTTGCAACCCAATGTTGTAGATATTTAGATATTTCTAACTATGAATTCTGTTTGATCAAATAATCTAACTTTGAAATTTCAAAGGTTTACACTATCAGGTTGCAAAGACATAGGGATTAGAAAATTTGAGTTTGTTACAATGACTCAATTCCGTTGTAATTTTAAAACGTAAGGAATTCAGCCCAAGAATACATGGTGTATCTTAATCTTGGATTAAACGAAAAACATAATTTAATATTTGTAGTAAATATATTTTTGTATGTTTCAGGCCCACTGGAGATCTAGGTTGAATTCTTTGAAGAATAATTTCCTCGGGAGTCCTAGGTTCCATAGAAGAAAACTTCACGGTACATAACACAGTTTTTTTTTATGGGATTGTAAGAGTAATTTTAAGTTAGCTTTAATGCCCGATTCACAACGATACCCTTAAATGCTTTGTCTAATCAAGTATGAGTTAGATATCAATGTTTATAATATTGAAAACTAATTATTTTCAATTCAATTTCAATTTTCAATCTACAAAAATGACTTGCGCATTTCTATTGTAGAATAACCACAATCACATGGATCCAGATGAAAATTTAAAACCATTTTCAAGACTTGGTAAACTTCAAAGTGTTGCAACGCCTTGCCTTTCATTTTACCTCACAATCTTACTTTACATTTTTTGTAGCCCTATCGACATTTTAGAACGTTAAATATTTTTTTTTAGATTTAGCTTCAAAGCAGTTATTGGCAAAGTTTTCATTGATTTTTGCATAATAAAATTAAACCTCACAGTGAAAAGTTATAGGAAGCATCAGGATAAAATAATTTTATATCTGGATAAATTTGTATTATTATTGTATTGTTGTGAATCGTATTAATTGGAATTATGCTTACAGTCCCTTTAAGGCCTAGTAATTTAAAGATTTTCTATAATTTTGAATTGATCGGGCCCAACACTAGAGTAAGACTCATAAAGCTGTGGAATAGGAAGACGACTGTTAGACTCAAGTTAATATTTAAAAAAGTCCAAAAAATATAATACACAATGCAGCAATTGTACCCCATGTACACGTCATATACCCATTTCACTATAAAAGTTGGTTTTTATTTGGTTTTATTTGCTTAAAATAAAACAACATCAATTACAGTGCTCAAATATCGTTATTCCAGTTTTATTGGTCTCATGCACTGTAAATTACATATTTTAAAATAACAAAGGTATATGACATTATTTTGAAATGATATTTATGGTTAGAAAATTTAATTTTCTGGGGAGAGTTAAATTTTTTTTTGTGTGGATCTGACATTAAAGAAAGGTTTATGGACAATAAAAATTGAAAAAATTTATTTTTTACAATTTCGGAAATCTACTAAAAAAAACCCAGACACATCAGCAAAATTTTAAATCATGGTAAACGAATGCAATAAAAGCATTAAAGTTTTAAAAAGAGAAAAACAATATTCTTTTTCTAGATGATCTTGTTTCCAGCCACCATCCAACCCCTGAATCATCTCCTGAACTAACTAAAAGATCCTGGTTTGGTTCCTTGATGTCTACTGAGAAGGAAGAGAACTATACCGTAGTAGTTAAAGGAAAATCATTGGCAACCATTAAAGCCGATCTTATTCATGCATTTCTTTCGGTAAGTTGAGAAATGTTTTGAAATTTCTTTTAAAGGATTGTCAACGAAATTTGAAATGAACCTTTATTAATAAAAGAGGTTATAAACAAATTCTTTAAACTATTAGGTCAGAAAATGGACAAGATATTCTCTTTTCCAGAAATGCTTTTCTGTCAATATGCATATACTGTTTCTCAGTTAAAGAAACAATGGTTTATATCGTAATTAAAATTTCGTTTTATTTGGAAAATTACATATACGATCGACCCCAATATGGTGAAAAATTACATATATAATCGACCCCAATATGGTGTAAAATTACATATATGATCGACCCCAATACGGTAAAAAATTACATATATAATCGACCCCAATATGGTGAAAAATTGCATATATAATCGACCCCAATATGGTGAAAAATTACATATATAATCAACCCCAATATGGTAAAAAATTACATATATAATCGATCCCAATATGGTGAAAAATTTGTTTTAAGAGTACAGCGTTTTATAACATTAATTCAAACGATGTTATTCAGATTGATCGTTAAAAATATTTTGAAAAATATTTTCTGAAAACATTTACCGCATATATGGTTTCATAACTTTTTCTGTAATAATATTTTGTTTTATTTCAGATATAAAACCTTGCTTGAGTATTTTTTAATAAGATATTCCTTATCAAAGATAAAATTGTACAAAATAAAACATCTAGACAGATTTTACCGTCTTTATAAAAATGTATTAGGTACTGAGAAAATAGCTTTTTGAATTAATATTTTGAATATAATTCTTTGAGAACAAACACTTTTTGGGATAGGTAAAATCTAAAAGGTGAAAAAATGTATTTTTTTTCTGAGTAAAAAAAATCGTTTAATGGGTTTTCTTCTTGATTTTGGCTTCTTAGATTTTTTTAAAACTTTAAATTTAGGTCAGCGATCTTCAACACAGTGTGGTGACACCAATGTCGTTCCGGTTAGAGTACAAGAGAGGGTCAACTGCGTCTACCATGTTTCAAAGACAGGTAGAGAACAGTGCAAGATATTTAAAGGAGTATTGCTGAACGAATCTCAAGAGTTTCTTTATTGGGGATTACCAAGGAAATTAATTTTTCCACAAACTCTGATTTTCTAATTCCTATATCTTTGCAAATTAACGTATTATGACAACCAATGAATTCTTTTGGATCAAATAATCCAAGATGAAAATATCACAGGTTCTTTCAGGTTACAAATATTTAGTAATTAGAAAATTTGAATTTGTGGCAAAAAATCAGTTTCGTCGTGAAAGAATTTAATTTAAGAAAGAAAGAAAATATAAAAACAACTTAACAGTATAATTCATCTACAAAATGTCCTTACCTATGTAAATTGTCCAAACTAGCAAAAAAAGGTTTCACTCTCACAGGAAAAAAAACTCGGGTTTGGAAATTAATTTCGATATATTTTATATCCTCAACAGTCCTTAAAGAATGGTGGTATTGTCAAAACTACCTAGCTGCACCCTATTCCTTAAACTCGGTTCTCGACACTGCAGGTTTCATAACTTAGAGGCTTACTTATAAAGACTTAAGAGACGAGTATGGCGTCATAGTTTCTGACGATTTAAACTTTAAACATGTTTTTCTATGTCAAGTTATTAAGTATTTAATTTGGAATCCATACACTGATAAAAACAAAAATCAACCTTATTGGATCATTATTTTTAGGTTGTCAATAAAGACTCATTCATTATAAAAGGTCAACTAAATTTTTCCGGGAACGTTTTTTTTCATAAAATTGAAAATTGGATTTTTCTGTTTAAAGGTATATTTGAACTTAGAGATTTGAATATTTTTAGTCTTATGTTTACAAAAAGCAGAGAAATATAAGAACCATCTTATTTTACGACGCAAAGTCTATTTTCACAGAACCTATTCATACTTAATTTAATGATGAAATTGCAGTGAGAACCGGAAACTGTGGAATAGGAAGACGACTTTAAAGTGATACTGATGTGTAATTGATGTTATTACAAAGCGAAATGTTTTACTGTTAACTTATTAATCACTTATTCAAGTGGAATGGGTATGTTTACACTGAATAATTGCTGTGTCTCATATTCATTTGACTACATAAAGTCATAACTTGAGTCTAAAAGTCGTCTTAATATTCCAGAGTGTTCTGGTTCTCGCTGTATTTTTAGTTGTACAACATTTTCTGTCTCTAATATTTAGTATTGTATTTTCTTGAAAATGTAATTTTTAATTTTCTCAAATTTTAAATTTTTTAGAATTACAAATTACAATTTATACGTTTTTAAGCAAATTTTATACTTAATTGTTCATTTTTATATAGGTTCGAATGCAGGTTGATATTTCAGCCGTCAATAAATCCGAATCAACGGCAGATTGCCTTTATGCCATAACATTCACCCTGATTTCTGGTAATTATGCCTAACTAAGTCATAACATTCACCCTGATTTCTGACATAAAATTAATCCTGATTTGTTAGTAATATTTGTTAATAAATATGCCTTTTTGTTATAATACTCACCCTCATTTCTATTAATTATGACTTTATGCCATAACATTCGGGTAAATATACATTTTTTGCCAAAATATTCACCGTAATTTCGTTTGATTTCGCCGTTAAGCCATAATATTCTGGTAATTATACCTCGATTTTAGAAAATTCATACCGATTTCTAGTACTTATACATCCTCCTATATTTCTTCTAGTCATTATACCTTTAATTATCTTATAACATTTGCCTCGATTTTTTTATGCTTATTTCTTTAATAATATTCACCCAGATTTTAGTAACTTTGACATGAAAATTTTATGATTAGGTAACATTCGCCGTTTCCGGCGAATATGTGAGCATATCCAGAGTATGGTCTGTGCTTCAAGGCGAGCTCCGCCTGCTTCGCCTCGGGCACAACGGCGGAGTACTCATCAAGGCGAAATAAGTGAAAGTGAATCAGACACTTCAAACCGAATGATCGAGCAACATTCAACTAAACAGGTAGAAAATAAATAAATATTTTATGGAGGGAAATAATTCGAGGAATTTAGGGCGCTGCACAACACATTTGTGTTGTGGTTGATAAATTAGCAATGTACAGGGTTACTCGAAAAGAATGAGCCTGTAAAGACGACTCAAAACTATTAAAATTTGTCGATTCAAAGTTTGATTTTTGATTCAATTTAGTATGTCTACTTAATAATATAGCACAAAAATATGCCAATGTTTTGGCCTACAAGTAGGCTGTTAAAAACTTTAAAATGAATGTAAAAAAGAAACTTAACAAATTTCGTACAGTCGTCTCTGAAGTCTAATTCTTTGTGGGTAATGATGTTGTTCTACTTAATATAAAATATTACACTCAAACTAAATCTGCAAAAGTTAACATTTCTTTTAAAGGGATTGCTTGCAAACAAACATAAATGTTACAAAACTTATGTTGGCCTATTTCGTCAATCTTCAACGACAAATTTGCCCTGTATAAACTTTAATTAAATTCCAAAAAAATAAAAGCTCAAAATTTTCTCTTTTTTTATTCTAAAACTTGTTTTTAAAGGAAGGATATTTCAGAATATTACTGAGGGTAGTCCCCCCTCCAGTCCTAGATGTAGACCACATTCCGGTCCAGTCGAAATAAAGGTTGGCTGCCCAAGCTAGGACCACCATTATTCTATTTTAATTTTTTTATTTTGAACTTTATTTATGCACTGGAATGCACTAATGACTGAATACAGTCGAAAACATTTGAAATGATTATTGTTTGTTACTCTTGAAGGTTTTTTATTAATAATTGCATTTTCTCGACGATTATGGGACCAAATTTAATGAATTGGAGAGGTCCCTGAACTACCTACCGCCGGTTCAAATCCTGAATCAACGTTTCGAATCCTCATTAATTTAAACCTTCAATCGGTGATTCAGGATTTGAACCTCTCTCCAATTCTTTAAATTCCGTCACTTGTATTAAATAAAAAAAAAATCCTTACTTTCTAGGTTTGAACTGGGCTTCAATGAAAACATCCCTAGGGCCAAAATATATTATTTTTACTCTTATATTACTTTAATATCTATCTTGACTGTATAGAGACTGTAGCCGTAATTTTAAGTTACCCTTTATGACAGTGCCCATTTTAACCTTATTCTGAGTTTACATTAAGAAGGTATCCTTATTTTTCATCAAAAGATTTGTGATTTTAATTTTGGTTTCAGTATAAAAGGAAATAGTTAATTAATCCAATAGAAATAACGAAGAAAATTGACATCATTTAACCTTTCTAAGAAAAAAAAACGACAATCTCCCCTTATTGTTTTTAGGTGTAAAGGGTACCTTTGTGAATTGATTATAGAAATTTTCAAAGGGTTGCTTTAAACTACGTTGACAGCCAAGAAATGTTCCAACTAATAAGCTAAAATATGTTCTTTAGTTATAAAAAATAACTATTTTATTTTTTTACAAAAACTTCCATATATTTCCGAAAATTTCAAGCGAAAATTAGAAATATTTTCAAGTTTAAACTTGTTTATCCCTGACTCTGGACGAATAAAAAATCCTTGTTAAGTAAAGTATCTCAAACCTTCTTCTTTACATATTTTTTTTATTTGTAGTTTAAGAGCTGTCAGTAACTGACTTTTTACATAATCCAGTAAATTTTCAGGGACAAATATATTTCTATAAACAAGTATTTTCTTTACAATTTATTCTGTTTTTTAAATGAAAAAAAACTCAACTTTGTAGGTCTAAAATTAGAAAATTGTTGAAATATTTAAATATTCAAAAAAGACTTCTTTTTTTGCTATTTCATCTTTGTTTGCAATTTGCAACAATTATTTAGAAAGTAGTTAGACACTTTTAAACTTTTGTTTATAAAAGACATTCTGTTTTTGCACGTGCACTGCTTTATTAGCAAAACATCGAAATACAAAAATATATTCAGGATACTGTATATTATTTTTGCATAAAAGGAGACAAACGTTCGCACCTTTAATTCTTTTAATTTAACGTTTTTTTATATTTTGACTTAAAGCAAACTTTATACAAGAGTAATAGAACTAAAAAATTTCTTTCTTAACTTATTAGATTTGTTTGGAAACTCATAAGAGACAAAATCTTTTTAAATATACAAATTTTAAAAAAATTCAATCCACAATTTATAAAATCAGAACCTAAACTTGTGTTGTGAATTTCGGGATCAAGCATTGATCCCCAAAATTTATAGAATTCACAATAGTCACAAAATCTCTTGTCATTTTCAAATTATGGTTCCAAACCTACCGGAGATATTAAGAATTTCGCTCAAATTTAGATAATTTTGGTTTCAAATTATGTTGAAATACGTAATATAGAAAAATATAAGATTATTCACGGTAAACTAAACTAGAGGAGTTACGAGGTCACAAAGTCTTGCCAGTAATGTCGAGCTTCGACCTTCTTCTTCTATTTGGTTTGAAATGTATTGAAAAGATTTTATTTTAGACTGAAGATGTTGTAAGATGTACAAACTCCTCGTCCCGTGGTTCCTCTCCTACAGTCAACATGAAGACTCCAACCAACAGTAGGAAAGGGAGTCCCAGCTCCAGTAGGCGGGGCAGCCAGGGGAGTAGGCGGGGCAGTAGAGAGAGTATTTCAACACCCACTCCTTCACTTTCAAGAAAACCGAGTGTCAGGTGAAACTATTAATTTGACAGAACATGCTATCACTCTTTTATAATTACAGAACAAGCGTTTAGCGCCAAATATCACTTTGATAGAATCTAATAAAACGTTATTAGCCACAATGGGACCCGTAAAACTGAGGAATAGGAAGACGACATTTAAGAATTTTATACATATTTGTTGCTGTTTTAAAGCCAATAGTTCTACAGCAAGGTATTTTGTGAAATGAGTTTATGTTACGCTACATCACAATTATAACTGGAGCGTATGTTACGCTACATGGAGCGTATTTTCTAGTGACGCGTTATGCAAAGACTGTAATAACCGATTCACAACGGTATCCTTTATTATTCCCATATGTTTCCTTGCAGTAGAAATGCCCAAGTCACGTTGTAGAGAAACCACAATTAAAAATAATCAGTTGTCAGAATTATAAATTAATTTGAAATATTTTATCATTATTATTATTATTATGAATTATAAGTGATATCTAATCCATACTTGATCAAACAAAGGATTTAAGGGTACCGTTGTGAATTGTCATCTTTGTATTGATGGTCACTAGAACCTACGCTTACAGTCTAAAAGTCGTATTCCTATTTTTAAGGATTTCTCTGTAAATATTTTTCTATTGAAGAATCCATAATATTAATGGACACTCGAAATCGTTCTAGGCAATCTTTAATTCAAGGAAATATTTGTATACTTTTTCCTATTTTTTTTATAAAGGAATGTAATTTCAAGTGACCCGCCATTTGGGGTAGAATTTTACATGATCCACAACACAATGGTATACCCTTTAAACAACTTTAGATATGCTTATATTTAAGGCTTAAAACTGGGCTTTGGGAGACCCAAGCTTTGTTGTAGTGTTCTCTACTCAGCATTTCCAGCAATAAAATATTTTCTGCGTAATTTTTGATCCGACTAATGCGTTTTTAAAGTTAATGAGAGTTTTACTAGAAAAATCTTAAAATAGACTAGAAGGTTTCAGAGGAATTATCTTTCATATTTTCATTTTTTAACAAAACCTTTCATAGCCTTTTACCAAACTGAAGAACGCCATTATCTTTATTTTGTTAAATTATATTTCTGAGAATTTTCAGGTTTCATGATATAAGCAAAACTCTTTCGATATTTTCCAAACTAATAAAAAAAAAATTTTTGAAAAAGAAATACAGAAATAAATTTACTTTTATGTTTCTTAGTGCCTTCATTTTTTAATCATTCTCAATATCTGATTTTGCATTAAGCTTATTAAAATTGTATTTTTTACAGATCTGAAAGAACTGAGGAGGCTCCGCCTCAAACCAACGGAACTAAGGCCACGGATTCAGAGACGAGTCTGAGCGCAGAGAATATAGAGAAAAGTGTAGAAGGGGAGAATAATGAAATAAATCACAAAGTGAACGGAAATAATGGTTCTGTTAAGGAACTTTCAGAAGATGGAAGTAATAATAACGATGTAAAATCAATCATTTTTGCCTAACTCAGGCAACCTTAGGACTAAAGCCGGTCATCTTTGGCAACCCTGACACTAACCTCGGTCATTCTCGGGAAACCCTGGGGATTGACACCAGTCATTCTCTCTGGCAACCCAGGCACTGATACCAGTCATCCCCAGGTTACATAGAGACTAACAGGGTTAGTTTAACACCAGGCATTCTCAGGCAACTAGGGAATTAACACCGGTCATTCTCGAGCATCTGGGGCACTAAGAACAATTATCCTTAGGCATCTGGGGCATTAACGCTGGTCATCATTTGGCAACCCTGGCACTTATACCGATCATTTTCGAGTCATCCTTAGCTAACCCTGGATACTAAAACCTGTCATTCTCGGGAAGCCCCTCGGGCATTAACACCGGTCATTCTCTGGCAACCTAGAAACTCATACCGGTCAACCCCAGGTAACACGGAGACTAACACTGGTCATCCTGGGCCAACAGGGACATGAACATCAGTCATCCACGGGCAACCAGGACAAAACCCTAGTCATCCTTGGGCGGCTGGGGCACTAACACTGGTTATCCTTGGGTGTCCGAGACACTAACACCAGTTCAAGTGGCCAGTCGTCACAGTGGGAAATGTAATAAATCCGGTAAAGACTTGGCAGGGTGGCGCTAGATAAATAGTTATCATCATATATGTCTATTATTATTATTATTATTATTTGCACATTGTTAAACACTAAACATGTGTTGGAGCACTTAGTTTCCATCTGATTATAGCGAAGCTCAAATTATTTAAAAACAGGGTGAGCAAAAAAACCAAAGACTTACATAAAAAACGGGCTGACAGATTCATCCATTATATTCAAATCTACAGTGAAGAATTGAAAAAGCTTTCAATGAGGCATTATATTTTCTTAAACATATTGTTTGTGATTTAAAGTCAATACTGTTTAGGGGAACTCACATCTTGTACATGCCTTGATCCTGAGTATTTTTGGATTGTACAGTACCGACCTAAGATATTACCGTATCGACGTGAGATCGTTAACATGTAAATCTTGAATTGAAAGGCAGTGCCCTGAGACTGTACTGTACCGACCCGAGACTGTACCATACCGACCCGAGACTGTACCATACCGACCCAAGACTGTACCGTACTGATCCGAGAACGTACCATACCAACGTGAGATTGCACAGTACCGACCTGAGACTGTACTGTACCAACTTGAGACTGTATTGTACCGACCTGAGAAGCTGTACCATGACAACCCTGCATTGTGCTGTAACGGCCTTAGATTGTATCATACTCTTATGCTTTATAAGTTTAGGCCCACCAATCACCATTTTAATTAAAAAATTACTCCTTTTATAGGAAGATGTTGGGATTTGTTCTCTGAACATTTTTTTGAATAGTTTTTTTGGAAACATTTGCAAGAAACTTATTGTTAACTGGGAAATCTATTTTGGGAAAATTAACGTTTTTTAATTCTAAACTTTGGCAAATACATGGGCTGAACAATTTTATTGAACTTTTTGATAATTTTCCTTTAGGTTTTCCTTTAAACATTTTAATACTTCTCTTAAAAGAGTTTTAGTAATACAATATTATACAATAGTTTTGTTTTTCCAATTTCAATTTTTTCATTTTCTCTAGATATGACTTTAATGTTTTCAGTTATTTATGAAATTTGGAAATACAATCTAATATTAAAATGGTAACATTTAGAAGCTATGCACAAAATGACGATAATTTTAATTAAACCAAAATAATCATATTTTTGAAGTTTAATAAAGTGTTCAGAAACCCGAAGCGTATTTGATTTGTTTAAAATAACATCATGATGATGGGACAAATCACTTTAAACTTTCTAAAAAGTAACATTTTTATTGTGTTAATGATTATTGACTATTCTAGCTAAAGATCGACTAATGGATGAATTGGGGCCAAAACCTGCAGTTTAAAAAAGCTGTGTAACCATTAATTGAATCATTAAACTCACATTATCGTTTTGCTATATAGAAAACAACGTCCTCATATACTCTCAAGCTTTATGCAGATAATAGTATATATATTAGCTTGTCATTGCATTTACAATACAACTTTTTGCCTGCTATACTTTCCTTCTTAAGAACAGGGGCGACCGCCATTTGATTTGTTGCGAAGTTTGTAAAAATGGCGTCGCTCTTCTTTTCTGGAAATAGTATTTATAACAGTAATGGACACATCTTAGCTTGTCTGGCTATGTTAGATTTAGTTTTAGAATGTAAATAAAAAACAATGTGATATTACTCTTTAATAGTTTTGATTTTTAGCCATTGCAACTTCTAGTCCTTAGTTATTACAGTATCGATTTAAACTTAATGCCTTATACAGTTAAATTTAACGTTAATTTGTTATAAAAAAGGTAATTTGATATTTGATTAATTTGTTATGCCGCTGTTATTATCTTAATTTGTTAAAAGTTTAATTGATTGATTAATTGTTATGAGTTGTATTAACATCAATAATCGACTTGAAATGTTCGTTCATTCTTTATATTTTTTTTAAAGAACCAAATATTTCTATAATATCCTTTGTCCCAAGGGTTTTGTTTAAACATTAACATATTTATAAGTTTCTTAACTCCTGCTCTTGCCAGTTAGCTAGCCTTGTTGAAAATATCAGTCTTAGCCTTAAATTTTTCTCATCTTCCATAAAAAAATGTTATTTTTCAGTTTTCAGAATTTGGTCATTTTTAGCCTTTTTAGTGTGAACAAATGAATACTTAGACCGATGAATGTCCGGGATAAGAATGCTTATTTTCCGTCCTGTTTGGATTTTAATCTAATAATCTAAAACACAGAAACTTCTGATTCCATTCCTAAAGTATTCAAGAAGAAAGCACTGCACCCCCCTCCCTCCTTTCCACTGTTGCTCTCTCTTTCCCCAAGAAAGGCTAATTGTCATCTTTTTGTAACTCTAAAAGATAAAAGTTAACTTAGCTTCGAAATTAAATTTTCTTTCCTACTTTCTTTTTCAGGTTAATAAATAAAGATTTTTGTATGTTTTAGTTTGTTTTAGAAAAAGACCGGGATTTTTTTATTTATGAACAAATGAGCATTTACAGCTTGCAGCTAATTTCATAATAATTGCTAAACAACTCGTATAAATAATATTTATTATTGAATCATTATAGTTAGTTGTTAATATTTTAGCATTTGATTTATATAATTCCTTTGTCTTTAAATTATTGTATTCATATGTTTAGCTATGTTTTAAAACAATACACTAACAGCAATTCTGAACATTTTCATTTTAATTGTTGAATATAGATCAATAAAATTAATGACTCTGTATAAAAGGATGATATTGTATGTATTTTAATGTTGAGCTTCAGTGAAATGTATTTGTATATTAATTAAATCGTCATTGGTGCAACTGAAAAAAATGTCTGGGTCCGAATTTAAGTTGGACTACATAGACTATGTTTAACCACTTATGTTTAACGCAAGCCGACGCACAATAGAAGTAGTTGAACTTATTCTACGAAGTTCTTCCACTTCTGCATTAACCACTCAATATATGTGACTTAAACCTGACATTGTATATTTATATTTATTTGGAAGTTTAGTTTTCCAATGTAAAAGCCAACCCACTCAACTTAGAAACATTACTGTGGTTTCCTGATCAAAATTTGAGGCAAATCAGTCAAGAGATCACAGAAATAAGATCAAACATCCAATCAAACAAGCAAAAAGATTTTTATACTACTTTATGATATAGATTTAAAAATAAGTATCCCAGCGACCTTTTCCTATAAAAGGTACCTAAAAAGAACTTCCAATATGTTCGCCACACCCCTTGATCTAAGCCGTAGCGCATGGACCAAAACTTGTCGTAAATCTGTAAAAAAAATCTTTGCAAAGATGTGCACTCTGCTCTGTGAAAAATTTAATAGGAAAAATTAGCGTTTTGAAAGTTGATTTTAAAAAACCGTATTTTCCAATATCATGATAACAAATTTGCACCATTTAACAGATAATAATCATTAATTGACGTGGACATTTTTGACAGCTAAATCCCATTAAAAAATTGCTAAATTCCTTTAAAAGAATCACTCTAAATCGTATCTTAAATCAATCCCTAGCATCAACCAATCAGAGCCCAATACGTCAAGTTTTCAACTGACGAGACAAATAAATTATCTTCAAAGTAGAAGTTATCAGTTTTCTAATATTAATATAGTTAAATCCCCGATTTAAAAGTTTCTGTCTTAGATTAATTAAACCAAATAAAATTTTTTTTATTTTCAATCCAAACTTAAAGTAAATTTTCCAAATTAAGAGTGGATTAAGATATAATGAACTTTTTGTGTGGAGTAGAGTCATAATTTGACCTTAGCATTGAAAAGAATGAAATAATGACCGGCCAAGCTTGTAGTTTAAATCACGGAAGAAATGTAATTTGAAGTGTTCCAAATTTAAAAATAGGTATTTTAACCATTTAGAAGCGAGAAGCAAATATATTCAGATTCAGATACAGTTTTTTTAACTTATCAAAAATGACAGTTTGCAGGTATAAGTTTCAAATTTCTCTTTCTATGGTTTAAATAAGTTAATCTAAACTAGCACAATCGTTTATTGACAAATAAAACTACGGAATATGAAGACGAGTATTGGGCTCAAGTTATGAGTTTAAATAGTCCTATGAACACAAAGCACACGCGGACATGACAGTTCGATCCTTAACCAGCAAGCTCTGGCTTTTCAACACAATTTGATCCATTAAAGGGCCTGTACGCGTAATTTGATCCATTAAAGGGCCTGTAGGCGTAATTTGATCCATTAAAGGGCCTGTAGGCGTAATTTGATCCATTAAAGGGCCTGTAGGCGTAATTTCAAAGATTTCTATGCCCGATATACAACGGTACCCTTAAAAGCTTTGTCTGATCAAGTATGAATAATAAACTTCATGTTTTGTTTTTGTTTTCGAACACTTAACACTTGCAAAATTGACTTGGACATTTCTTGCTTGTAAAAAAGATTGGAGAAACTATCAGGATTTAACACCTTTTCGTGTCAAAAAATGAAATTATCTTCCACAATTTTGATCAGATTAAGGCCTCAAGGGTACTGTTGTAAATAGGGCATTGTCATCAATGCATGGAGGGTGACATGAAACTACGCTAAAAGTCCCTTGAAACATACATGTGTGGCAATTTCTCTTCAATACTTTTTTGTAAAATTGATGCGTTTAAAGTTAAAAAGTTTATAAGACAATTTCGTAAGTTTAAATATTGTTGTGTTAAAGACAAAAACGCGATTAAATTAGAATAGAAATAACCGAATACATATCGCCTTTTACTTAATTAGTCCAAGGGGAACAATGTAAATGTTACAATCTATATAGTGGAAGCACAGAACAATTTTCGTAATAAATCTATTTTCATGCTACTGGTAAAACTAGTTGTAAGTAATTATAGTAATTATTTTTTAAGAATTATAACAAATACATACAAAATTAAGTATTTAAGGAGAAAATATTTGAAAACCTTCAAAATAGTGGTTTTGGGAATATTTCCCCCCAATTCTAAAAAAATAGAAAAAATAGAAAAAAAGAAAATGTTTTTGTTTACATTATATTTAATATAAACTAGTGGTGGATTTTTAGCATTTTTCGACGATTAACTAACAACTTTTAGGCATAAAAACGATGTATTTAATTGTAATGTTTAAAAAAATAAAATAGACTTTATGGGTTGTGGAAAAGGTGTAGGTATTACGCAGCACGCATTTTTCAGCATATTTTTCATTCGCCCCAATTTTTGACATCCTTTATGTTTGATTATATCTTTTACTCTTTTAAATCTTTTTTGTCTTTTCTTTGTAAAATTGTCTTTGCTTTCTGCGATTCTTTTGCAAACATAGCATGTGTTAGAATTAATGCATTTGTTCTGCTGATAAATTATTCAATTAAATTCTGTTTAAAAGATTTACATTTGAAAGCTTAGAAAAGTGTCGTTTATTTTCATTTTCATATTTTAGGGAAATTGTAAGGAGGAAGCAGTCCAATTATAATAGTTTTACTCTAGAAATATAAAAATCATTTCTATTTCTAAGATTTTTTAAATGTTGGGGGTAATTGGTCTTCTTTAAAATAAAATGCAAATGTTATAACATTGAAAATTCCTAATTTTCTGAAGGGGAGTATGCTCAAAGCCCAAAAAGCTTCCGATGTGTGACTTATTCTAGGTAAACCCATCAATAGACGTACAGCTTTCCTCTTTGCAATTATTCTATCTTATCAATATTTTGAGTTTGAAGTCAACATTAGAAATTTTGAACTAAATTCTAAATGAGATAAAAAAAAGGAGTAATAAAGCAATTCACGGTGTCAAATCTTAAGAAGATTTTAATTTTTTATAAAGTGAAAAAGTTAATCGCCTGTATATCTTTTTAAAATAGTCATGAAAGTTCAATTTAGTCCAGCCATATTCCCAAGAATCTAACTGAATCTGTTTCTTTTATGCGTTCAATCTTCGTTAGTTTCCCCTAGATTAAAGAAAATATCGGGACAGTCGTTTTATGCATTTAGAGAATTTGAAAATAAAATTGCATTCGTTTTCTAAAGTTAAAGGGAGTGACCGGCTATGTAAGGTAGTTGAACTGAGTATGCAGTGTTGTGGAAAGCTTCTTTCGGATTCATTTGAGACATGTTAAACTTTTTAAAGATCTGTAAATTCCGAGTTTAAGCTCAAATTCGACGTTCAAAACTCCTACTTTGGGGGTGGAAACGTTTTCAGAATTAGTTTTTTTTTATTATTAAATAACGACAACGAAAAATAAAGTAAAAATTATACAGTAGTCTAATTAGATGGTTTGGAACATATTTCTCAGAAGAAATTTTTCAATAAATTAACGCTCAAATCGACTATTTCGTTTTCATTATTATATTGAATTTCTAATTTTCTTTGAATTTATTCGCAGATTTCATCAAATTCTTCAAATTTCGTCTTTTCAATAATAATTCTAGAAAATCTGCGAAATTCTTTGTGAATAATGAGGAACCAAAATAATGA